TAGATTACTGTCCAAAAGTTCCCCGAAGTTTTGCTAGAAAAGGTGTCAATATTTGTTGGTTAGTCTCTTCCAGTTGATCTCAGAACCCAGAAATTGTAATCTTATATTTGAAGGCAGAGCAAAATTGATGATGTTGCCTAGGGTTCGATTCTATAGAACAATAAATGTGCTGTTAGCCTTTGTGTGTTATGTTTTGAAAGAAATTTAATTATTTTGGAATTGAGAAATTAAATGAACTCTTAAGAGTGATTTTTACTGTGTTTATTATTATCACTGCCAACTTTGTGGGTGATTTTTACGGTGTCAAAGTCAATAGATGGCTTGGAAATTAACATATTTTTACTTCTGGATTTCCTGGTATATTATGTGGTTTGTATGATAATTTTTTTTAATGAATAGGACAATCTAAATTCACAATAGAAGAGGACTTGGGATCCAGAAAAATAATGTATTTCACGGTTCTTGGGTCAAATTGCCATGACTGGGTATTTATTTATTTATTTTTATTATGAAGAATATTTGGCCTTTCCATTCTTTAATTAGTAAAATTTATTGGTGTGTTTGATAGGAAAATTTTCGATGGAAAATGGCTTTTTTTTATTTTTCACCGAAATTCCAATTTTTAGAGTGAGTGTTTGTCGTATTTTTTTTTTCAAGAAAAATATTTCTAACATTTGAAAATAGAACCCTGCTATTCGTATCGGGGGGTGTACAACCCCCCCTACCCGGCCCCTCACATGAGGGGGGCCCACATTTAAATCCTTATTATTAACCCTACTTGAAAAATTTTCATATGATTTTCTTTGAATAATTAATAACATATGGTAGTACGTGCAAAAGTGACATGTTAAGTTCATGTTTGGGCTCATTTTTTCAAAACTCATATTCTTTCATACATTCTCCATAAAATAATGTTACACGTAAATCTAAAATTTTTCCTCATTTTTAACCACATATCCTCCAAAAAATAACTATTCTAAAACACTTTTTTCATCAAAATCTCATTTTAATGAGGCCCAAACATGGGCTAAGTTTAATTAACATTATATGTTTCATTAATCAATTAGATGGGCAAAAATGTGCAAGAATGCCATGCCCTAACCCTACCAGAAGAAGAAAATACTATGCTTCACCTATTGTGAGAGTTCAAAGCACAAAGAAGGAAAAAGAGGGTCCAATTTTCAATTTCACCAACATACTACAGTGCATGACAAATTTTGGATACCCGTGACTTCCAGTCCTTGGCTGTGATGGACTGAACACAGAAGAACACTTATCCATCGTTGTTTGGGGAACACGAACTTTTTGCCTCTGAGAAGAGGCGAGTGAATCTTAAAGGGCATGTGAATTGGCAAATGTAGACTTGGGACTATCAATTACGAGTTTTGCTATATGGTTAGAGCTTTGCTATAGATACATCATATTGTACATAAGGGTGTACACTTTTCGGTCTTGCTACTTGTACATCAAATTTTACATCGGGGTGTACACCCCCCTCACATGATGGTAGGAATCGCTTAGATTAAAAAATAATTTATGCAATGGGTCCCACACCCTATGTGAGAGGGGTGTAGCCCCTTATGTACATCTTTTGATGTACAAGTGGAATTGTTCATATGGTTATATGAGGAAGTCGTGAAAGTCGATGTGAATGTCGGAACTATGTAGGAGCTCTCCTGATTTTCTCAAATTCAAGTTCCCACAAAAGCTCTTTAGAGGTATAATAAGGACCCGTTTGGCAATACTTTTGAAAAGTCAAAAGTTGTTTTTGAAATTAAGAAGTTGCTTTTAAAGGGAGCTGACTCGAGCTGGCTTTGTTAGGAGGTGGTTGTACAAAAGCAGAAGCAAAAATGATGGATCGAAAATGAACAGAAGTTCGAGGTGACAACCTCTTTCACAATTGACAGAGTAAATAATATTCATTCTCTCTTGCTATATCCAATCTTAGTCTAAAAGAGGAAATCAAGAGTGAGACTTTAATTAGTGTTACCTCATATTTTCATTAATCACTAAATTAATAATGGAAATTTCAATTAATTCATCAATGATCAGTAAAGGCATTAATGAAAAAGGAAGATCTGAGAAACAATATTTGATCACACAAAACTTCCTTGGCAACACAATGCGGGTAGAGAGAGGGGTAATCAAATACTAATCAAAGCTACACTTAGTTTAAGTGAAACAACTCTCAAATACACTAAATATGAAAAAAGTAGCCCCTAGCTAGAGCAAAAACTTAAGGAAAATGATAGTGTGCCAGAA